TTTTTTTTTTTTTAAATGACAAGCTCGGACGCGAAGGAACTTCACTTCCATCCGACAAGCGTAGCGCAGCGGTAGGATTCCTTCGGCAACCGGTGGACTTTTAATATCTCTGAGCGCGTCGAAAATATAGAGATCCTTTCCCGGACTCTTCTCTCTATTGCTTCCGCGGAACTTTGAGGTCTGATACTTTCGGTTCGCCTCGGGAAAAATTCCGCTCACACATGGTGATAGTGGCCCGCACCTGTTTTGTATGTATACAGGGTGTCTGAAAAATTTTCACAGCCGAAGTATGAAAATAGATGGGAGTCAATCGGAACGGAAAAAAGTTCGTTTGTCATTTTGCAAGATTCGAATTATTTATTGAGATATTAATTATTTAATGCAAGCCACAACGAGCGCGTGAAAAGCGATAGCTCGGACTCGGATGATTTTCAGGTGCACTCTGTTGTGTGAAAATCAGCTGATCGCAAGAAGCTGCGTCACACGCCGCACGCTTGTTTGCTTGCGTGTCTCTCGTTGCTAAAATATTGAATGAGATAAGTCATTTTTTTCGTTACAAATAAAAATTATACACGTTCACAAAATCGGGACTATCGCTTCCTACGCGCTCATTGGCTCATATTAATCAATTAATATCTCAATAGATATTGCGAAAATGATAAATGACTTTTCTGTTCAGATCGACTCAATCTATCTTCACACTTCGGCTGTATCAAAATTTTTCAGACACACTGTATACATGTCCGTCTGTACATATGTGTATGGATGACATAATAAACTTCTCGAGAATCAAAAACGGCATGTTCTTTGTTCTACAACTTCGTTCTTTGCGACTGCCAAATAAAAGAGTTTTTTTTTCTCATGTTTGATAAATAAATAACGTCAAACTACGGTTACTTGTAGCAACAAATGTGACTACGTATTCGGAATAATTATGTTAAAGAGTTACTTTAAAAGTCGTGCCGCGATTTTCGATGGACTTGGATTTTGAGATTCACAGTGGCACGGAAAGAAATTCACGGAATAAAATCCGCAGAAGAGCGTCGGTCTGCTTTTCCACCACACGAAAGCCGTTCGAGCGGCCAACCATACGGATAACAGGCAAAAAATCTACTTCGCAAAAGCGCAATTTATTTTATTGTTACAATATCACCGAGGAGCAAAACAATAATAATCTTAACGCGTTATCGTGACAACGTAACGTTATTTTTTATTTACGAGAATATAAAGTTTTATTTATAATTATTTTTTATTTTTGAATTTGTCACACAATCAGGCTGTATGCGGTATTTAATTTACACGATAAACACACGTACGCGATAAGCATTACGATCATATATTGTAATATAATTATTTTATTAAAATCGAATATTCAACAAAACGTACGCAGGAAAATATGCTGTTTAAGCAATAAACTCAATCAAACATTGAATTCATCTTTTCGTTTATGCATGTTCGTTTTCTCATGTAAAAATACTCGATTAAAAATATCATTTCGGTGTCTATATAAAAACTTGCTTTATAATGATAAAAATAATATTTTGAACAAAATATTTTTTTTATCTGTAACTTGCTGTATTTTTCTTTTACTAAAATTTTTACTATTTATGCTATTTATACTTGTGAGTAAATTTTGTCATTTATATATTATTTATATACTATTTATTTATAGTTTTTATTATTTATACTTTTACACAGAAAAAAATTTTATTATACGAACACCAAGAAAACTTTGCCTACTGAATTTTTTGTTTTGTTGGCAAAGCAACAAAACATTTAATTAGGTTAGTAAATTTAGGTCAGTAAATTTTTCTTGGCTGGCTATATAATAATCTTGTTTGCTATTCCAGCAAAACTTTGTTTTCCGTGCAAATCGACAAATAATAATGTTAATATAAATAATTAGATACAGTTTTTGTTTAAAAATTTGATCGTGCTTTTTCGTGTAAGCAGATCGTTTACTTTTTGAACTTCACTTTGATTTTGTAGTTTGCATTATAAATAAAAGTAACTCGCGACAATTAATCGCTTACGGTCAATTAACGCTTACAAGAACATAATAAGATATTTAAATGTCTTGGGATATATAAAGGTTCGTAAAATACAAGCTCATCTTTCTTGCAAAAGAGCGTGGTTAACTTCAGCTCGGTGGCTTTAGCAGTCTCATTGAGCCGAAACTTCTTTCACCAAGCCAGCCAGGTTATTTAAGTCTTAGGGTCCTTTGATTACTCGCGCATACATCGTTATCTTTGAGAAGCCAGGCCACGTTCGTGCCTGTTTCTCGGCGGTAAAGTGCAACACGCGGACTATCTCTACCATTCCTTTGCGACAGTTGGGTGATTAAGGATAAGGATAAAAAAAAAAAAAAAAAAAACCCCAATATTTACGGAAGTGAATGTGAATCTGAGAATTTTAGATTTGAATTTTATAGATTCTTAATGATGTACTTTTGTGAGATCGCGAGCAAGTTTTTTATTTTGATATTTCTGAAAGTTCGAAATTCGTTGGGTTTTTTGTTATCGGTGTTAAAAAAGCGTTAGAAGCGACCAAAAATTTTTATCGAAATGACAAGCATACCCGCGATATAATTTCGCGCGGTGTACTTTGTTTAATGTTCGTTCGTCTCGAACTAAGCGAGCGCAAACCGGCGCGATGTTGAAAGAACAATCAGCCGCAAGAAGACTGGCATTTACCTGGACAAACAGAGACAAGTCGTCTCCCAGCAGCATGTCCCTGCAGACGTCCTTGGCTGTAGTGTCTAGAGTAAGATATACGAGGCTGCTCTCGATACCGGTGTGTATTCTCACCCATCCGCTTCCTTTGCCAACGTCCACCCCGACTCCCGAGTCCCAAGAGGAATTGAAGGTATCCGGTAGGTTAGCGTCCTTCAAGCTTTTCGCGCTCGAAAGGCTCCGACTCTGTATAGAATCCGTGCTGAAACTGCCGTCCTTATCCTCGTTGCTGACGTCCCCGGACGTCGGCTGCGTCTTTTCGCTATCGAATCTGTCGATCGTCTCATCCAGCTTCTCCAGAATCTCGCTCTCCAAGATCTTCTCGTCCATCACGAGTGGATCTCCGTTCTTCCTCGGCGTCGATTTGGCGTCGTCTTTCCGCAATTCGAATCGATCGATCTCGGGAATGTTATCCTTTGCATTCACCTTTGCGTCTTTATTCTTCGGTTCGTTGTTATACAAATCGCAATTCTCGGGATAGAATTTGGAACTCTCCAAATAATCTTCGGTATTTAATTCAATCTGATTTACGTCTTCGCTCCCGTAAAATATCGAACTTTCTTCCAGCAACTGTTGTCTCGTATTTTTTGCGCTTATCGATAACGTCGATCTTTCGCTCGCTCGACAGGAAACATTCTCCTTGGTTGACATGCTAAAATTTGTATTTTCGCAAACGATTCTCCGATCGGATTTATTTTTAACCCTCGGATCGGAGTTCTCCGTCTCCGCTCGATCCTCCACGCTGCTGATCTTCTTCTCGCAACAATTTTTCGACAAGTTCGACTTACCGAGATTATTTCCTCGTCTGAGAGAATTCTTTTTGCAAGTATCGCGACCGGGAACATCTTGTTTGAGAATATTCTGATTCTTTCGGTCGCTCGTTCTAGAACTTGTCTTGTTCTTTCTTTTGATTTCTGCGTAAATGTGTTCCTCACCGTCGGTTCTGTCTTTGGCGCAGCTTTTCGCTTGCTCTTTCGCGCTCTTGACGCGCTTCGATCTCTGCTGAAACCTTTCGTAGTTGGCCAAGATTTTCTGATTAAGCTCGTGAATTAGTTCCAAACGTTTGGCGATAGAATTGCCGGGTTTATCTTCGTTCCATGTTCTAGCTGTATTGATATTGTCCTTTCTAAGCGCGTCCTGTCGCTTCTGTTTTCTTGTCGCGGAACTGGGAATACCAATTTCGTACTTCGAATCGCTCTTGAGAACGTTACCGTTAGCTTTATCGATCCCGATTGTGCCGCGATACTTCCGATCGATATTCACGGGGGGGAAACCAGACACGTTCATTAGCTCCAACGTCGGTTTGGATAACAATGAAGACTTGGCCTCGCGATTCCGTTCCGAAGGGCATTCGTTGATTTTCGCTCTACCATCCGCCGTCTCTCTTTTGCGATTCTCACTGAATTCGATGCCTTTTCTGCCATCGGGACGAACTGCCAATCCAATACTGGAGCCGCTGCTTAAACTGATCCTTTCGTTCATCTCCCAATTCATCGGTAGTCCGCTTGCGGTGTTGTCTTCGTCGACGCTTTTGCCCGTCTCTGCAGGACGCGGACGGAGTTTCTGATTAAGATCCTGGCCCAAATGAAGAGAGCCCTTCGGAAGATTCGTGGTTGCTCGTTGCCTTAATCCTCTGGTGGACGACAAACGGCGGGATCTTCGTAGCTTCACAGATGACGAAGGAGCGATCGCTTGATTGTTGGTTGCGCTTGCGATCAGCATTTTAGAATTCGAGAATTTTTTTCACCAATCGGGAGAACAGATATTTGTTTGTTAAATTAACACAAAAAGCGCTAGATCGTGTTCATTCGTGTTGATGCTGTTGACGCCTTGCATTTTGCAGTTTTTAAAAATTTTATTATTTGACGAAATAATAAACAAGTTCGTCGTGTTTTTAACACTGATCGCACTTGTTAAAGTTTTTCGCGTGATATATATTGACACAAACGAACGATGTCGATATCACGAAATTGACGGGATCAGGGTAATAGGCTGTGCGTATTGCAGAATAGCAAAATTTCGACATGACGGAAATAGGATCGCGACAGATCGTTGAGTAAATGATTACACTAATACACTACGGTGAATGTATTGCTGTCATTTTTTACGTACGAGGGAAATTGTACAAAATATCACGCTTCGATGCTCGTTTCTGCAACGCACGACGCGTCTCGTGCGTGCGTTACACGATTGTAATCGATACGGCGATTCTTTTTCTGTGTTGTATTATATACGCGCATTTGATATTTTCGTATAATACACGAAGTATATGTATATATTTTGTTTTTCTAACAAATATATAAATTAGGCGAATTGTAAGTAGGATAAGTCGGCGACTGAGTTAGCAAGTAAGTTAGTAAGTAAGTTAGATGTTAAGGTTTTTTTTGTATATAATTTTGTAACCCTGAGGGGAACCAGTAATAAATTCTATTCTATTCTATTCTATTCTATAAATTAGGCGAATTATACACGGCTAATTGTGTATAAGCTATATATAAAAAAAATATTAATTATATATATATAAGAAAAATAATAAAACCAGTATAAAAGAGCCAAGCCTGATTGTACGTGCTATAAATGTTTATAGAGTAACTGCGTTTTATGATATAACCCGAAAAAATAATTTATAAATAGTATTTATAAATTAAAAATAATTTATAAATAGTATTTATATACAATGTTAAAAACAAGTGAACTTTATCAATAAATATGTTATACTAAATACGTTATAAAAAATACGTTATACTAAATACGTTATAATAAGTATGTTATACTGTTTTTTATTATTAAAAAAAATCATCTTTATACTATAGAAAAAAAGTTGAAAAAATTCTTGCATTTTTTTCATATATTCCATAAAAGTGGGTTATATGGTCATGTACGGATATATACGACTTATAAAAACAATCCTAAAACTACATTTTCTTTCTTCCAATGACATTTTTTGGTATTTACTTACGTAAAACACATTGAAACATTATGTATTATTAATAAATAATAGGCAAGGGATTGACAACAATGCGTGAAAAGAATGTGTGTGTGCTGAGGTTTAACTCCCTGGATGATATGATAGTACTACGCGTATCACGCGCAAACACTGTATTACGCACATATCTCGCACGTTAAACTCGCCGTATATTTCAAACTGGTGGAATATATGACATCTCTCTAGCTGGATAAAGAGTGCGAGAGCTACGTGCTTGTAATTTGCTATAACTCTTTTATATCCTTTCTACAATTACATATTTCCTTTTATATCTTTTCTGCAATTACATATTTTATATATCCTTTCTACAATTACATTACCTCTTTCTACAATTATATATCGCACAATAATCACTAAACTTGTTTAGAAATCTTGTAGTAATCATTTTACAACAAATCGACTAAGAGTGACGATGGTGTTTTGTTAATAGTAAACAATAAAAAGTCGAAATCACAACACAATACTAATGTGATAAAGGCATGTAACAAAGATGATTGCGCGATAAACTGTCTCTTTTCTTTCTATGCGACATAAAAACTCGGATGCGCATAAAACTCCAAAGTCCCGAAGTTATTTTATAGATTTTTTAATTGAAAATTGAATTCAAAATATTCACACAAAATGAATATTAATTAATTTACTTTTAAAAAAATATTTCGCTTATAGAGTTTTTTCTTATTTTTGAGTTTTGACACGTGGATAAACAGAATATTTCTAGATAAAAACGTCGATTCCCCAAAGATTGATAACAAGTATCGAGTTCTCTTTTAAATAACACCGTTGAGAAGAGACGCACATCTCTCGCGTAGGTGAATTATTTATGTCTCACACCGAGAGCTTTTACGATAAATCTGTCTCGTCGAGACGTGACATCCAGCCGATCGCGGGACGACGACGACGACGACGACGACTCGACGCACGTCGCGTCACGTTGCGCGCTCGCGGCGCGCCGTCAACCGATCAGAGAATTCGATCCCGGCAGGGGAATTACCTTTCAGACACCAGACCGGAGCGAAATACATAACCGTGAAACGTGTGAAAGTAATCCGCGGGTAACGGCCAGAACGAAGGGCGAGAAAGAAGACGCGAATACGTGTTGCACTTGCGGCTTCGAATCACGTAGCCCGTGCTTTCTATTTATCTATCGTCCCGAAAAGGAATTCGTCTTGAGTTTATCGCGGACTTTCGCCGGAAAAATTGATACCGAGAGAGAGATTCATTGATTGATTTTATGTGTGTGTGTGTGTGTGATTACGGTTTAGTGTTTAAACGCTCTGGAAAAAATTTCCACAAGAGCGCGACATAGGCAGAAAAGAAACAAAACAATCTAAACACGCGATAGTGCATCAGAGAAAAGATAAAAGTGAGTATATAAACATAAAATTATAAATTTTTTAAACTGAGCTGTCCTTTGGTTCGTAATGAAAATTTCAAATTGGTGTGTGTGTGTGTGTGTGTGTGTGTGTGAAATGGACCGTTCGAACCGGATGCAGGATGTTGCGCAAAAAATTTTGACGAAATGATTACTCTTCAAACGTTTCGACTTTTATTTGTTCAAAGTCATCTTCTCAGTGGAAATTTTTAAATTAACATTGCTTAATGACGATATGGTTGTAAATTTTAATAAGAAGAAATTTTTATAAAATGTGCGTTGTTGATGTAAGAGTATTCGTCGATGCTAACTGATATAAAAAATTATAAGAAAATGTAAGATATTATTAAAAGAAAATTAAGATATACACAAAAACAGAAAGAGAGGGAGAAAAAGAGAGGAAAGAGAGAAGGTAAGAGCTTCCTTTCTCACGAAATGCGAGTTTCCGGGGCGTGTCGCGGCATTATGCTCCGTATAAATTGAGCGACAAGGGTGTGGTGGAGGGTTTGAATCGTGCCGTTGTCGATCAACGGCAGACTCGCGCGCGCGAACCAATCTGAATCGCGAATGCAACGCGAAGAAAGAACTGGAAAATGAGGTGTCTTTTTTCGTAACGAAATCTCGCGACTCGCGGTGATAATGTGAAACGCGACTAACTTGAATCGAGAGAGGATGCTCGGCGTCTGCAATTTCGATAGTGTTGTTTTGATTGGAAATTAGCTGTGCAGCAGTTGTAAATCAGACTCACACACACGTACACACACATACAATCTTGTTAACGGAAACAAATATTAGTCAACTATACCTGTGTGAATAATCATTAACGGTAATACCATAGATAGGCTATTTGTCAGCGAAGCACTGACCGCGACGATTCCCATCGAGTCGTCTGACACTATTATCGAACAAATATTTCTAGTTAACAGAATACGGTGCAACGATCGATATCCATTATCTGTTCGAAAAGGAAAACCGAAATTGACATATCACGAGAGAGAGAGAGAGAGAGAGAGAGAGAGGAGGAGGAGGGAGAGAGAGAAAGAGAGAGAGGAAGCAAAGTGATGTTTTTCTCGAAATTTGCCCCCTATTTATCCCCTTGAGAAATGCACGTGAATTATTTACATAAATGTTCTTTTGAATAATTCACACATAATTTCACGCGTGTCTTTATATCTTTCCTATACTTATATATATTTGAAATATTGAAATCAAATACACATATTTTTCACGTGAAATAATGAATCAATAATGTAGAAATTGTCGCGAAATAGTTTTTCTTGATTTTATTTTTTGTAAACATTGATCTTCGAAATTGTTTGCGCGATAAATGAAAAATCTGCTCGGATTAATATTTGCTTCAACGTTTGATTAAAAAAACAAAATGCTTCTTCGTTGACACTGACTCTCTTTCTCTCTCTCTCTCTCTCTCTCTTTTTGTACAATATGAAAGAGACAGAGAGAGAATCACCAAACTTTATTTTTTTCTTAACTCACACCATTAAACGCACTGCAATTCACTTCAATTCAGTTTCTCATCACTTAACAGTTCTATTTGCGCTTCGTATGCCGAAGCACAAATCCATCGATCGATTCGAATAGTTACCGGAAAGCTGTACAAACGCGCGCGAAAGGATTTCGGAAACCTGACTCGTACGTTCCGAGCTTTTGTTTGCCAAGCACCACCACCGCCGCGGCAGTGGATTAATAATCTTTAATCTTCGCACTAATATAATAATTCACTTTATTAATTCCACAAGAGAGAAATTCAATCGCAAAACGAGACACGTCGATTCACGAGGTAGTCATCACGGACACTGACCAGAGTTCACACAATTGTAGTATCGCACCCGGCATCATGAATACATCGACGTGCCACCTGTCTCTCTTTCTACCTGTTGGCCACGGAAGGATAAAAACGGAAGAGATAAAGAGAGAAGAAGAGAGTCCAAGTGGAGGGAGGAGAGAGAGAAAGAAAGAGAGAGAGACAGAGAGAAAGGTCTCTCCTTCGCACGTGTTTGCGTCACATGTGTGGCTTGTAGAGAAAGAGAAGGATAGATTGATATGGTGTGTCCTCCCAAGCCGGCTGGCCCTGGTCGGGAGAAACCAATGGCAGCAGAATGATGTACTTCCGCTCTTGATGCCGCTTCGCTCGGTGAATAGTTCAAGAGAATGATTGAATTTCGGATATGTCCGGGAAGACTTGACAATCGAAGATTGCAAGGACGGGGTGTCCTCTGTCGAGATATTCCGAGACGCGCGCGACGAAGTTATTCTGATTCTTGAATATGAAATCTCGAACATGCAATTCTCTCGCGCGTATTCGAAAATTTCGAAATTTCTCATCTCATCAAACGAATCCAAAATTCACAATTATCACGCAAATCGATTGATTGATACAATCGATAAATTTTAACCGACACCATTGTTTCAATTTGTCAATTTCAATTTTTTTTATTTTGCCGATATTTAAATTGACTTGTTATTCCATTTATCAATTTTGTTTTTGCGCGAGAATAAATTGTCGCTTTTGTTACAAACTCGCTTTTTTTTTTACAGTGCACAATCTGTCACGCAAGCGCGGCAACATTCAAATTTGCGGAACGTTTCACGAGCACGGTGCATTGTTGCCGGAGGCGGTTTAGGAGCGTCACGCTGGAACGTAACTCGACACGAAGGAGGCCATTCCCACGCGTCCCTTTCGGCTCCCTTTCTCGGCAAGCAAAGCAAGCGTATCCACCCTTTCATCTCAGGAAGCGGTCGCATGGGCGAGCCTTGCGTGTGTGTTACGTGCGGTCACCGAAAAACGTGTCCACCTCGGTCAAACGATTCGCGTGTAGTCTCGCGTACGACTATAACTCCGCCGCAATGTGTTGTTTTGCAGTACGTGTGTTACGGTAGTACGGAGTGTTTATGCCAAGCGGTAAAAACTTGCGATGTGACACACGCTAAGAATTATTGTGAGAAAAATTATAATTGAATTAAAAATTATAATTAAATTTAAAAATCGAATTAAAATGTGTGGCAATTTTTGCGCTTGAAAAAATATTTTTTCACGTAACGTCCACGCGCTTGCGGCTCTCACTCGGCGGCTCTCATTATTTTTCTCACACGGGAAAAATTAATTGTCGTCAATATAATGACGAAAGATGTGAAGAAATCACGATGAGAATTATTATTGGGAAACAAAATTATATTCCTGTGCGAGAGATTTGCAAAAAAAAAAAATAAACAAAGAATTTTTCATTAAATTAGAGATCACTCTGGGATCTTATAATAATCCGCCGTTAAAATGAACACGCGCGGTGTTCTCGAAGATTATCTACATAACGCGCAACGCGCCGCGCGCTGTTGCGTCGAATATTCAAGAGTATTCACAACGACATCCCTGCCGGCGAATAAAGAAAGACGTCTTTTGTTCCTCGCGAGAATTTGTATCGAGACTACCCTGTCTCCAAAGAGGAACTAACAATGAGACGAGTCTAGCACCACTTGTACATCCCGATCTTCTCAGAGTGTAAACCCTCATCAACGTGGGTTATCCTCGTCTCTTTCTCTTCCCATCGTGATATCACTCTCTTTTCTCCGTTGTCTGCCATCCCTATCGCGATTTTCTCTCTCTCATGCCGTTAATTACAAACGAAGCCACTTAAAGCTGATGAGCCTAAATGGCCCAGCACCGAAACCGCGCATCCCTTAAAACCGTTCGCGACACAATAGCGTCGACTGCCATCATATCTCAGCCCGAAGACTATACATAAATTACTTGTCGTGGATTACGAGTGCTTTATTGCACGAGACAGGTAGTTATTATTAGATTGAATTGTCGGATGAAGCAGTGCTTTTGAAATTAATAGAATGTCGTGTTGTAAATTGTGCTATAAATATAGAAATGTAAAATATAATATAGAAATGTAAAATATAATATAAAATGTAAAATATGATAAGCATGTGTGTGTGTGTGTGTGTGAATTAAATCGATTCGAAGCAAATGTATATTCCGTTAAAAACCCTTGACAATGTTTATCTCTTTGCGGTCGTTTGTTGTAAATATCTATATGTAAATAAACGTTCGAGACTCTCCGTATTGTTACTTTTCAACACTTTGTTGACTGTTTTTTGATGTTTGTCAAGTGCGTTTGATGTGACGGCTCCTTGCGCAGTAAGAAGAGAAAATTTTGAAAAAAACACATCGGAGGTTTCTTCGACGAAGCGATTTGTGAGACACAGTCGGGCGGCGCTACGCAAACAATCGTGAACATGTTATAAAATTCACTTGTAATAAATACAACGCTTATTCAAAACAAAGTCTGTGCAAAATTTACACTCTTGTTTATTCACTTTCTTCACATATAAAATTTTGAGAATAAACATTTAAAGAATATTTATCTTCATATGTACAGTGCACAACAAAAAATCGTCCATATCCGTTAAAATGAGATAATAATTTTTTACACATTATTAATTTTTTCATGTGTTAGATTTATGTCAATTTCATAACTTAACATTCTGTACATGTCACTTAAAAAATATGGAATATTATTTTGAGTGCTTTTAACACAATTATTTCAATTAATCTACATGTCTCAATTCAACATTAAAAAAAAAAGTAAAATAAATTCTAAAATAATTATGAACTTTGACACACACACACACACACACAAAACTTTAAATCAAATTTACTAAAATCAAAATTAAATCTTTACACACAAAATAATATATCAATAATATTTCCAAAAAATGAATATCTTTTCTAATTACATTTATTGCATATAACGTGTTTTACGTGTCGCATATGCGCGTAAGTGTACTTACAAAGAACATTTAGGTTTTTAATGATATATAGATGAGAGCCAATACGAAGAAGAGAACTGGATGATCGTGTACATTAACAAACTTTTATTTAACCCTCTATGGGCCCATGTAACTTTCAAGTCACAAGCTAATATATCCACATTTTACCAAATAGTTTTAGTTTTTTTCACAAGATGATGTATACGTCTTAATTATATAATGCCTCTGAAATAACAAATAACAATATTGATGACGGTTGGCATCAACCTGAAATGTCAAAATAAATACCTTGCAAATTGATCTGCAGATAGAAACCAAAGGGAAATTCGGCCCATAGAAGGTTAATTAAAGCCAAACGTTTAGATCTTATATTAGATCTTCCTCAGTGCCAGAATATTTCGAGGTTAGCACAAACACTCTCAGCGTTTTTGTCAAAGTGTTTAGCTACACATATGTGAATCTCAGTTTTCATTTACTATACAGGACGATATTATTCTTCGCGGCAAGTAAAAAACTTTTTTTAAAATCATTTTTCATATTTAATTTGTGTCTTATCGCTATTCAACAATAATTTTCTTTTTTCCTCATAAAGACATCATGTAAGAAGTTTCTCGTTCGACTGTTTTTTTTCTTTGACTGTTAACACAGATGCGCATTTTCTGCTACTCTCGAAATATTCTGAGAAAAACCTAATATAAGATCGAAATGTTTGGTTTTAATTAAATAAAAGTTTGTTAATGTACACAATCATCCAATTTTCTACCTCGTTTCATTCTAATTAAATTTAACAATAATAATTTTGACGATCTCATTGAGAGCCTTACGCTGGATGTTTGTTGCGAAATGAATATATATATGTATATATATTCATATTTCTCTTTATGTAAATTATCACACATGAAATTTGAATTGAAATTTCAATTCTTAATTTCATATAAGATTCTATATTTGCATTTCGTATATGATAAATACCCATATATCCTCCTGTCTAATTTTAAAATATTGCGAAAATAAAACACTTAGGACGCGAGACCACTGGACCGGTCTCTAGTTTTTAATTATTTTATGTTATTTGTTCATCACACTTAAAGCCAAAATAACAAATAATGAATGTAAAGTATCGAGTCAATTACTTAACATTAGTTTGTCAATAAGTAACACATGACGAGTAAATTAATTTAATATTTTTTACATGTTTCAAGATGTCCGCTCAAATTAAAATTAACATTTTTTTCTTACTGTGTATATAAGAGAAACAAAGTACTTTCGCATGTTACTTAAAATTCTGCTTTACAAGAGAGTCGTCTACGTCTCAATTCGTGTGTGTACACGGACAACGTCCTGCGGGCAAAAGAACACAGAACGAGGAACGAGGAACATCATTCTCCCGGCGGGAAAGCTTGGCGCATTTAGCACGGAAGTTAAATCGACACGATTTCAATCGTCGCGAGCGACGTTCAGTTCGCCGCGAATCGAAGGTTGTCGATGTGTATAATCCAGTCCTGACATCGCCTAATCGCCTCTTGAAATTTCCCACCGTGATCCCACTTGACCTTCTTTCGACCACCCTCGTAATCCGTCCGAGCGTGCGCGCGCGCGAACGCGCGAGAACCAACAGTGGCCGATATCTAATCGATCGCCGGACTCCCTCGATGCTCGTGCTCGATCTCTCGATTCTACGACTCGGCCCGATTTACCTATTACCGTTCGTGAAATATTGGCAAACTCCGCGGCTAGATTAACGAACTCGTGATTTATCGGTCCCTTTTTGGCCGCTTCGCTTCGCTCGATTAATGAGAATTTCGCGACGGCCACTTGTCGACCTCGATATTTACGACGATGACTTATCGACGTTTGAAAATCATCCCCGTTCCTCCTCCCGCCGCTCCTTAGAAGTTTCGACAACTCCAGTTTCGACGTAACATAAAAGTATAATAATTTTGCAAACTGTGCGAACATTTTTTATCAAATCATAATTAATTGAAAGGAGAAGAGACA